ACGCTGGGCAGGTGTCCCCGAGGAGGTGCGGTGGGGGCAGAGCCTGAGTGCACGAGGCCAGTCACAGCACGGGGCACTGCAAGTGCAAAGGAGGGACTCACGTGGCGGGTACTAAGAATCGTCCAAAACGGCTAGAATCCAGGGGAGCAGAGGCACAGCAGTGTGGGAGGAGACGGCATCTGTCCTGAAGGCCCTGGGACCACGTCAAAGAGCTGGGATTCTACTCAAAGGGACGGGAAGCTCCTGAAGGAAGTTGAGTGAAAGGGGGAGGTGACTCCGTTCTAGCCGATACATGACGAACAACTGCAAGGTCACACGGCTGGTAGCATGGCACCGGGAGACATTTCAGACGCCAAGACAAGAAGGGACATGGAGCAGTGGAAGCGGTAAGTGGCCTGGAGCTGGGTTTCAGAAATGGAAACGATGAAGCTTGCTGATGAGAGGTGGTGGCTGGAGTCTGGATTGAGACACAGGACGAGAAAGGGGAACGAAGGATAGAACCTGTGTTTCTGGTTTCATCCAACAGCAGGGAAGGGCCATTGGCGGCGCTGGGGAAGCTCAAGAGCCGCCGACTGCTGTGGGAAATGACAAGCTTGGTTCGGGCTCTGCCTGTACGGGAAACAACTGGTGATACCAGTAGAGAGTGAGATCTCAGAGAAAGATCTCGGCGGGTAACATACACTTCGGAGGCATCGCATACAGACCGTGTCTAAAGCCATGGCTGTGAAGGTCACCTGGGAAGTGAGTGTAGACAGAGGAAATGTGGGTTGGAGACCAAGGCCGAGAACCACATCTGGAGGTTGGGCTGAGGAGTGAGAAGTAAGGTAGGGGGCAAATCCGAGAAGCTGAAGCTAGTGTTGATCCAGATGCGGGTCCAGAGCTGGCCGGTATCAACCATACGAAGCTGCCAGGAAGCCCAGGATGAGGAGAGCCCAGTGTAGACATCTTCGGTGATGTTGGTGTGTCGTGGACGCAGGAGCCAGAATGGCATGTGCTAAAGAATTAATGGAAAGTGAAATGCAGATTCTTGAAAGATTTTGCTATGAAGGGAAACTAAAGAATGGGGCTAGCCCTGGCTGGTGTGGCTCAGTTGATTGGAGCATTGTTCCATACACCAAAAGGTGGCAGGTTCGATTCTGGGTTAGGGCACATACCTAGGTTGCAGGTTCAATCCCTGGTTGAGGTGGGTGTGGGAGACAACCGCTCATTGTTTCTCCCTCTGAAAATCAAGATAAAAAAAAAAAGGAATTGGGATAGTAGCTGGGGGATAGTCAGGTCAAGGGGCTTTTAAAAATTTAGGTTAGGAGATACTAAAGTATGTTTGCACATAGATGGAAATGATCCAAAAGGGAGAGCAGTTGAAATTAATACAGGAGAGAGAGACAGCGGAAGGAGGAGTCTTTGAACGGGGGCGGTGTATGATGTTCCCATGCCTGCTCTAAAAAACTACCGCAAACGTTGGGACTTAAAACACGTTTCTTCTCCTACAGCTCTGGAGGTCCGAAAGTTCAAAATCAGTTTCACTGGACTAAAGTCAAATTGTCAGGAGGGCCAAAGGTCCCTCTGGAGGCTCTTGGGGAGGATCTGTATCTTTGCTTTTTCCAGCTTCTAAGGGTTGCATTCCGTGGTTCACTGTCCCTTCCTCTGTCTTCAGGCCAGCAGTGAAACACCGTCAAATCCCTCTTGGCTCTGGTCACTGTCTGCTCATCTCCAGTCAAGTTTCTCTCTGCCTCTTTATTATAAGGGCACTTGTGATCACACTTAAAGCCTATCTAGATATTCCGGGATAATCTCTCCACCTCAAAATCCTTTCATCTTTAATCACATCCGCACAGGCTCCTTTGTCCTGTAAAGTCACACGCAGAGGTTCCCAGGATTAGGAAGCCCCTGTGGAGGACTGGCCTTGGCTGGGAAGGGGAGAATTTCTACCCCTTTGTAACCAGAGGCCGAAGGGGAAGAGGCTCGTGCAGGGCTGCACAGATCTGGTGGTGAAAAGAGGAGGGAGTTCCTGCTTTGGGCTTCGATTTTCTGAGAGAAGTATGAGGTCAAGTCGACAGCTGAGAGATGATGGCAGAAGCCGGGTTGAGAGGGATCGCACACAGAGGGAACACAGACTCCATTTCAGTCTTTCAGCATCACTGCAGGAGGGCATGGCCAGGCAGGAAGTGGAAGGATGAGAACCCCTGGGAGGTGGTTTGGTCGGGAGACAAGGGAAGGCAGCAGTCCGGTGGGTGGTGAGGAGAGTGACATGGCGGGATTGGGAGCTCAGAGGTCCTGATGAGGGGATACTGAGCAAGTGAACTGTAAGTGCAGGAAGTGTCGGGCAGAGCGGGCTTTGGAGACAGTGCGGTTTCTGGCGATGCCAAGTTCTAGGGTTTTCTTTTGGGAGGGAGTCTCTGAAGGACAGATAATCATCCACCTAGATGCTGAAGACACCTGGAATGAAGACAGGAAAGTGGTGGCCAGGAAGCAGTGTCTTCAGTGACTAGGGTGCTGGTGAGGGGAGTGACCTGGAAGAGGTTAGAGGATGGAGGCAGGTGGATGACAGGACCTGGCAGAGCAGTTAAATGCCATACCAAATGGCATCAATTAAAGGGGAGCTGGGGGGTTGGCCAGAGGAAGGGGGAGAAATGGTGGAGCAATGGGGAGCAAGAAAACTACCTTCTTCACTTCCTGGTTCTAAGGGATCAAGGTGTGAGAGTAGCTGACACTTCACAGGGCTCCTATGTTTCTAGGTTTGTACTAAGATAAGAAGTTGATGCAAGAAGAATGTGTGCTGGTCCTTTGTTGGAATTTCCCGACATCACTGTGGAAGAGTTTGGGAGATAGGAGGTTTGGGGGAACACAGGGGTGAGGGTTTGGCAGCAGGTTTTGGAGAGGATCCCTGGACCTGCAGTGGTGAGTTTCGCAAGGACATAAAGCACATGGAACCACATCACAGAGACCCATGAGTTGCAGACTAAGGAATCTGTGTCTTCCCCTGAGGTTGGGGGCAGGACAGGGTGTTGAGCAGCAAATGGTCAGGGTCAAAGGCAGGCTTTAAGAAAATTAATGTTGAACAAAAGAGATTTTGCCTTAAAAAGCTACTGCAATAGGCCAGGATTAAGGTCTACAGTATTAAGGATTCAGGGTATGAATGCTGAGAATAGTGAAAAGAAATTCTAGTCCCAAGAAATGTGCTTGGTTTGAATTATAGCAGATAAGGGACACGAGGAAGCCAGTGGGGAATGATTCTCATGTTTCAAGCTTAAGTGGGTGGGAGAATAGATTTTGAATGAAAATTGATGGTTTGGGTACTTGGCAAACCATGCCTAAAGATTCAGCAGTGGCTGAACCGGAGGCTGGAGCCCTGTAATGAGAGGTGAATCACTGGGCTCTTCCCCTGATGTCAGGCCAGGAATAACTGCCTGAGGGATTCCCAGATGGAGGATCATCAAGGACCAAGCAGGAGCCCAGGAAGAAACCAGTGATTGACCCTAATTTAGTTTCAAATCCCCAGGGCAGGGTCTGACCCCTCAATTACCATATACAATATGGCCTGTGTGCAGGTGTGAATAGTGAGGTGCCCAAGCCCAGGGGACACCTTTCAGCCATCCCACTAGGGTCAAGTTCAGCCAGAGTAGAAGTGTTGTCATTCATCTTTACAACCGGAATGCACCGTGACTTAGGGCACAGTAAGACACACCAGCCAGTCTTGCAAGGAGAAGCCCCGTGGGACTTGTCTAAAAGAGGCAGCTTTCCTACCAGCAGCTCTGGAAAACACTATGATGTTAGCTCAAAAAATTAAAAATTGAACCACCATTTGACCCAGTGATCCCACTTCTAGGAATATACCCTAAGAAGCCTGAAACACCAATCAGAAAGAATATATGTACCCCATGTTCATAGCAGCACTATTTACAATAGCTAAGATCTGGAAACAGCCCAAATGTCCATCAGTAGACGAATGGATAAAAAAGTGGTGGTACATATACACAATGGAGTACTACGCAGCTGTAAGAAAGATCTCTTATCCTTTGAGACGACATGGAGGGACCTGGAAAGTATTATCCTAAGCAAAACAAGCAAAACAGAGAAAGACAAGTATCATATGATCTCACTTATTTGTGGAATATAATGAACATAACAGTCTGAGGAAAGGGGTAGTCCCAGAGACGTGGAAGTGGGGTACAGACTGACAATCCCCAAAAGAGGGGGTTGTGGGGGAGAGATAAACCACAGAACTTATATGCATGTATGTGTGAACAATGTACATGGACAACAAAGCTGGGGACAGGGCAGGGAGGGTGGGGAGGGGGAATCAGTGGGGGGAAAAGGAGAAACATCTGTAACAAAAATAAACTAATTAATAATAATTTTAAAAAGAGGCAGCTTTGACCTTTTCTCTTACTCGCCCTCAAGTTAAGGCAGGACAGGGGTATCAGGTAAAGGATCCATCACATCTCTGAGCTCAGGCTCAGAATCACAGCTGATGTCTGGCCAAGAATTTCATTCATTCATTCCTATGTAAACCCCACCCACTTTTGCTCAATTTCCTACATTCTGCCGACAGCAGCTCTTTTCTCCCCTTTGCCCAGAAGGCCCGGTCTTTGTGAATGCCAAGATGAACTGAGGCTGGCATTCCCCTCTGTGGCTTTCCTGCCGGGCCTCTGATCCTCCGAAATTCACCCTTACTCTGAGCTGAGCGGGCACTGGGTTAGGGGAAGCACTGGGGCCCTGCGGGATTAACCCGAACCGTCCCGGGAAGTGCTGGAGACCAGGCGCGTAAAGCTCACTCCAGACAGGACCTACTGCTCCCTCTCCCGACCCCGGCCCCGGAGCTCCGGGCGCGCGCGCACTCAGTGTCCGCCGGGAGCGGGGCGCGCCGGACGGGGCGGGGCGAGGAAGGGGCGCGGCCTCCGTGGGGCGTGGGGCGTGGGGCGGGGCGCAGGGCGGGCGGCTGCGGGGCGGGCGCCGCGGAGGGAACCGGCAGCCGCGGCGAGAACGCCAGCCCCGCCGCGATGCCCGCGCGCCCCGGACGCCTCCTCTCGACGCTGCCCCGGCTGCTGGCTCCGGCCGCGCTGCTGCTGCTGCTGTCTGGCCATGGCGGCGGCGGGCGCTGGGGCGCCAGGGCCCAGGAGCCGGGCACGGAGGCGGATGAGCCCCCCGCGGCGGACGGCGGGGACAGGCAGGACCCGCACTCCAAGCACCTGTACACGGCCGACATGTTCACGCACGGGATCCAGAGCGCCGCGCACTTCGTCATGTTCTTCGCGCCCTGGTAACTGTCCGCGCCGCCTCCTCGGCCCCGGCCGGCGCGGGCCGGGCCCCCAAGCCCCGCAGTGTGCGCTCCCGGAGCGGCCCTGGGCCGGGGCCTGGGGCCGCGGGGGCGGAGGCGGTGCGGGCCGGGCGCTCGCAGCTGACGTGGCGCTGGGCGGCCGGGGCGGTGCTGGAGGGGGCGGTCCCGGACAGGAGAGCCGGAATAGGCTGCCCCCTCTCCCCCCTCCCCCGACTGTCCCCACCTCCGAGTCCCTGGACTGGGAGAGAGGAAGGGGGACTGCTGGGAACCTAGAGGCCACCCCCCAGTCCCCTGTCCCAAACTTGCTGTGCCGGCTGGAGGCGCAGGCCTGCCTGAGCGGCCGGGACCGGTGGGCCACGTGCGGCGGCCGCTGGCCACCGGGGGTCCTGCTGCGGACCCTTACGCATAGGATTCCGTTCACTCGCTGCAGGGCTAACGTCTGCATGAAGGTTTAGTTGAAAAATCGGTTCTCACAAAGTGCGGCTTCCTACTTTGTGTGTTCATGAGGTGGGAAGGGGTGGCCCAGGCAGAAGAGAGTTCCTGTGCCACCTGGAGAAGCGACAGTGGTGCGAATTCTGGGGACGCCGCCGCAGCTCGGAGTGGGTGGGAAGCCGAGTGCCCTTGGTGACGAGCCCGCTGGCCCTCACCTCAAGGCTGTCTTCGGGCACGTCCTCTCCTTTGCTCTCCCGGGACCTGCTCATCTAGAAAGTGAGATGGCAGAACTCACCACTTAGAACAGACAGTACCTTTTGCCATGGTTCTGGGGTAGGGGCTTTGGTATGGGCCTCGGGGCCAATCCCAGAGACCCCTACCCTGAGACTTGTCCTTGCAAAGGACTTCCTGCCATCCACACAAGCACAGGTAGTGTTTCTCTTCCAGGGCCTACATGTCCCAAGGAAGGGAAGTTTATCGGGGCAGAGCAGAAAGCTACTGTTTGAGCACAAGGCAGTTTGCAGGCTTATTGCAGAATTTGGTGTCCTTCCCCATCATGGGGAGACGCTCAGTGAGATGTGGGAAAGGGTTGTGGGAAGGAATAGAGAGAAGATGCCTAAGAAAAACGGCCTATTCAGAAAATGTGCTGGCAGAAGTTGAAAACTTTTCCCCTATATTCAGGCTATTACTGTATTTCATTCAGTTCATTTGGAGTTAAATCAACTTTTGGGGGCGGGATTGAGTCACAGCTATCATGCATTAACAGTGTTTCAGTTCCCAAGAAACAACTGACTTGAAGTTTTAGAACCTACTGGTGATATAGAAAAGTACATACAATCATTATTCAACATTAATAGGTACTCTGGGAAGGAGTATTCTCAGAGTAACTATTCCAATTATGTACACTTCTTAATTGGAGCTAATTCCAGTGGAATGAATCTGTCCGTGAATTTTCTTTCTCTTTTTAAAAGAAAAAAAAGTGACATGTAGATGTAGCAAGTTCATGCAGTGCCAATGGAGTTTTAATTTTGGAGTCTCTGTAATACCCACCAGCTAGTCCTGGACTGAGTGAGGGAGGAGACTGGCAAATTTGAGCCCTTGGTATTAAGTAAATTCCTTTTTCATTGTATGTAGTTTATGATCTTTTAGGTGGATTCCCCCAGGAAAATGTAACGAGAAGTTTTTATTTTGTTTCTGAGTAGTTTACTACGAAATATTTAAACAGAGATGTATGGGGTTTTCAATGATGGCATTTAAGTTACACTTTAACAGCAGATTGGATCTTGGGTAAAATATGCTCTGGGCTACCCCTCTCCCGTCATCTCTTTACAGTTTCAGCCTCTGGGGGGTATTGGAAGCCCACGTGTGGTTTGGGGTCAGGGGTGCCATGTAATGAAGACATTGATCTATGTGATTTTGCCCTGAACTTGACAGATGTAGGGTAGTCCTTCTGTAGATTTGTGCCAACATCTTCTTCAGGGCTAGTTTGCAGGTCACACTGAACCTGGTGGTGACCATTAGGTCAAGGTTGGGAGTACCGCCTTGGGAGAACCAGGTAAGTTTGCTCTATCTCATGGCCACAAGCCACCTTCTGAATGCAGCTGCTGTCTCAGAGGTTCATGCTATAGCCAGAAGGGTCCCAAACTAGAAGTGCTGACGACATGGCACCTGTGGATCTGTCACTGAGAAATTGCCAAGCACTTAGTATACACCAGGCACAGGCTAGATATGGGGAACACAGCTGTAAAAAGGATAATTCTGTCTTCTTGGCCCTGGTAGTACATGTGCTTACATATAACATGGTTTCCCCTCACAACTGTCTTCCAGAAAAGAAGGAATCATGTATTTGAGTCTCTTATGAAGCAGGGATTCTCTTAGCTGCCCAGAAAAGGGCCGCCTAGGGAAGACACATTTGCTCTAAGTACACTTTTTTCTGCTACCTTTAGATGCGTATTGAGGTCATCTCTCAGAAAAGAAAAGAGACAGTGATTTTACTGAGAAATTATTTTCAGGATAAGCAAGCATGTTAAAGATCACTTTAAAAAGCAGTAGGCCCCTGGCCAGTTTGGCTCAGTGGTAGGGTGTTGGCCCATGGACCAAAGGTTATGGGTTCAATTCCTGGTCAAGGGCATGTACTTGGGTTGTAGGTTCGATCCACAGCCCTGATCAGGGTCGTGCGCAAGGCAACCAAATGATGGGTCTTTCTCTCTCTCTACCTCCCACTCTTATCTAAAAATCAATGGGAAAATATCCTTGGGTGAGGATTAAAAAATAAAAATCAATCAATCAATAAAAAGCACTATGGCAAGTAGTTCCATTGTAGACAACATGAACACACAGCAGGTGTGTGGGGAAAAACACCCCACAAAACGCATGTGCCACAGTGATACGTGAGTGTACTTGAAGCTTGAGATCAAGTTTCTAGAATTCAAACCTGGCCTTGCAGACAGCTGACTGAACAGTAAAGGGGTGATTAGAGCAGGAAGTGTTAAGCTCCTGCAGCAGAGAAAGAGAAGAGAATGGGCACCAAATAGCCTAGGAAGTCAGGGCTGACTTCTTAGAGGAAGTGACACCAAACTAAACTTGAAGGGCAAAGAGGAATCAGCTAGGTGGGTTTAGGGGAAAGCATCAGAGAGAGTGTATGGAGAGTCCCAGGGCAAGCCAAGCTCTGGCCCTTTCAGAAAACTACAAATACTGCAGTGAGGCGCAGGGGTAGACTGCAAGGGAAGGAGACAGCTGGGGTACAGAGGTGAAGTGGGAGGTCAGCAGGGGTCAGTCACATCCAGGAAGATCCGACACAGTACCTTGCTAAATTTGGCTGTCATGAAAAAAATGCAGGAACTTTCTCGTGGGTTGTAAGCAGGGGAGTGAATTCTGTAGTCATTCCCGTCTCTGCTGTGGTGTAAAGAAAGGCTCAGAGAGCCCCATTGCCCTAGGGAAGTGGCTAAGAGGTGGGTGGGGCATCCTCCGGCCCTGCACTCAGTATACTCGTTACTATCACCTTGTTACAGGTGTGGGCACTGCCAGCGGCTGCAGCCTACTTGGAACGAACTGGGAGATAAGTACAACAGCATGGAAGACGCCAAAGTCTACGTGGCTAAAGTGGACTGCACGGCCGACTCAGACGTGTGCTCCGCCCAGGGCGTCCGAGGATACCCCACGTAAGTGGAAGGGCACCTGCTTCCCGTATTGTCTAGGTTTTCCACGGGTTTTGGCCAGCTGCCTTTGGCCACAGAAAGTCCAAGTTACATTTTTGGTGTCTTCCTTTGTAGCGTGAGGAGTGAGGAGATGCTGAATTTAAGCAGGCCCTGTTGTTCGGAAAGATCGCATTTAACGCCAGGCCTCCAGTAGATGTCTTTTTGTACCTTGTATGGAAAAAGCCTTTAATTAATCCGTATTGGGTTGTCCTGTTTGTAAGAGCATGTGTTTCGAGACAGAAATGGTGGTCCCCGTGAGGTCCTGTCACAGTTGATGTTCCCGAGGACATTTATGCCATGAGTACAGATTTTGTCATCAGTTTAGTGTGAGTATTTGAGCATCCTTCCTAGAGTGGTTTCCCATGTGACCAGCCCAGGGCTGTTTCTGTTGAACAGAAAAGAAACAGCATGGAATTCGGCAGCTCTGACAAGTGACACTGCCGACTCTCGTGACAGTCAAAGGAGTTCTCTGGTTTTAAGAAACAGAAATTGAAACTGGCTTAATGGACGGAAGAGGGGATTAATTAGGCTGCGAGGGAAGCCCCGAGACTCACTTCAAAGATCAGGGGCCTGTGTTTACTGTGTCCCGGAAGGTCCTCACTGTGGGGCTGCAGCCCTCTGGTGCCACGGTGGACTCGGCCCGCACCGCCTGCCCAGCTTGGGTGGGGTGTGTTCCCGGAACAGTCCCTGTGGACAGAGAGGCAGGACCTTGCAGGAGACAGCGGCCCGTTCAGACCACGTGGCTGCTGGAGTGGAGAGCCCAGCCAAGCAGGGAGGGTGCTGTTTCCAGAGGCTGGCAGGGGGCGTGGCTGTGGCAACTCCCAAAATATTGTTCAGATTGATGAATTACGTCTACATAAAACCCGAGCTTGTCTTCACACCTGAGAGTCAGTGTGGAAAAGTGGAAGGAACTCCGGGCTGGAACCCAGAAGCCAGGGTTTGGATCCCAGCTCTGCCCTCTGCTCACCGTGCGACTCTGGCCGCGCTATGGAACCTCGGAGTCGAAGGCAGGAGGCCGCTGCCCACGCCACCCCCTAAGCACTGTCACGAAATAAAGTGCGAGTGTGCGCAGATGTGAGGTTCCCCGTAGCATTGGGAAATGTGGCAGTTCCACGCAGGACCCCGGGACTCTTGGTCTGTGGTGGGTGCCTGGTAATCAAAGTGCATGATTCAAGTCAACATCAAGTCAGGTCAAGTAGAGATAAAATTCCCCACTGTATGTACCTACCTAGAAGGCGTCACCGTCCTATGCTTCATGGCTTTGCCTTTAACGTACGCTCTGCTTGGATGGAGAGTGTCCCAAAGAAGCGGTCACTGAGTGGTGGGAGCAGGTGAGGGGATGATTGCTCACCTGTTGAGAGCCTGTTACTTCAAGGTACAGGGGTGGCAGAGATGGTTAGGTGAGGGGCTGTGGTGGCCGTGTGTGGCCGTGTACACCACAAACCGCCCACAGGGAAGGCGATACACCAGGAGCGGTAACAGCGCTGAGAGGGTATGTGTTAGGGTCCCACCTGGACACGGTGATGTGACCGTCTGGCTGCAACTCCCTAGATGCTGCTCACAGATCTGAGAAGATCCACGTTGGAGCATGTGTCCTGATTCTTATTTAGACGATATGGTCTCCCAAATAAAACCAGCACTGGTTTTGTGTTGTAAGAAAAAAGTAAAATGAGCTTACACCACACTGGACGTGGTTTGGGAAGGACCCTTTGACACACAGGTGCCCCGAGGAGAGATTTTTTCCTTGAAGGCAGGAGGCGGAATGTGCTACCTAAAATGTAGTCACATTAGGGCATCATAAGTTACCTGCTGAGCCTTTACTTCCTCTGAAACGGTTCTCGTCTCAGAGACATTGCAAGGCCTGAATCGGAGAGCGAATGTCAATGCCTGAGCTTGGCGTGTGTCAGTATATCCGCTTTTCTACCCTTCTCCCCGGCACCTCGAACTGGAGGAAAGGATCGGAGAGGGACGGCATTTGAGTTCCCATGCCCCACCTGCTGCTGGCTAACTGTGCTCAGGAGGATGCTGAGGGCTTCCTGTTGAGCCACAAGATAAACTTCATCATCTGGGAAAACGTGAGCGGGGGCAGGGCCGAAGGAGGCTCCCTCGGGCTGCCGTACCCAAATGCCACGAGCCCGATGGCTGGAAAGAACAAGATGTATTCTCACGGTTCTGGAGGCCAGAAGCTTGAAATAAGGCATCAGCAGGGCCAGGCTCCTCTGAAACCTGACCAGAGGTCAGGCCTTGCCTCTTCCCTGCTCCTGGCAGTCTGCCGGCAGCCTTCGGGGTCCTTGGCTCGTAGGGGCACCACTGCAACCCTGCATCACCACGTGGCCCTCTTCTGTGTGCAGGCCGCTCCGTTGTGTCTGAAGTCCTCCTTTTGATAAGGACAGTCATAGTAACTGAGGCTCACCCTCTTCACTTCAGTTTCACTTACCTCCATAAAAATTCCCTTTCTACAGAAGGTCACCTTTTCAGGTACTGTGGGTGAAGACGAACAGATCTGTTTTGGGGACACAGTTCAACTTATAGCACCATCTCATCCCTTGTGGTAGAACTTTTCTCACACTGTTTTCCAGAGTGATCCATAAGTAGCAATTTTCTTCCCTACAGTCTCCTTGAAAAAGAAATAGATCACCGAAAAAACCCAGAAGCCCATATGGAGGTGGGTGGCAGCAGAAGAGTTTGGGGTGACTTTGGGCTTGTACCCTGTGCTCTCTCCCCATCACCTTCCTCATCTCCATCTGCAGTGAGCCTTGACGTCACTGAAAAGTCTGTGAAGGAAGCTCCAATCCTATCCCGAGGCTCTTTGAACTTTATGAAGACTCTCAGACTTGGGCAGGCAGAAAGGTTTTCAGTCCAACCAGAAGAGCTTTCAAAAATTGTTTATTTTGTTTTGGCTCAAAGCACACCAAGGTAGAACAATATCACAGGTTGGGTTTTGCTGATTTATAAAGTTAGCAAAGTAATGGGGAATGGGCGTGACAGCACCTGGTCCTTTCTGATGTTTGAGGACCCCGAGGCTTTGGGCTGAGAGGTGGAGGACAGTGGGCATCTTCTGGTCCTCTGGGCGGAGCACACATTTCCAGAGCTTCCCGGTCCCGGCGGTGGGTGTGGGTATTCATAATTGTGAGATCCCTCTTTGGAGGTGCTTAAAATGTTAAGCGTCAGGAAGTCACAGGCATACCGGTCTAATCGAGTTACATTTTGGCTTTTTGTTATGGTTGTGAAAGTACAAGCCCCTGGGAAGTAGCATGTCTGTTCTTTGTTGGAGGCACATGAGTAGTGTCACCTAAGCCCATCACAGGACCTTCGCTTCTGGGTGAGGCCAGTGAGCCCATTTTAATCTAAATTCCTACTGCAGTCAGCTTGTTCTCTTATAGCTGTGGCACTTTGTTTTACGGCATTTGGGACTTCATCAGACCCACAGTTCTGCTTGCTGCACATCTTGGCTCCTTACACCTGACCTGCACATTGACTCCTTACCTCTGGCCTGCAGATCCAGGAGTGTCAGAGCAGGAGGCTTGCCAAAAATAGCTCGTCTGTGTTTCTTTCTGTCAGTGGCCACATTTCCCATCCACCCTTGATACTTTCTATTAGTTCTGTCAGTAAAAGAATTAATCCGAATCCTTCCCTGACGCCTTCCACTGAGTTGTACCGTGCGCCCGTTTCCCACGACCAGGGGCATGATCCCGGGTCCGAAGCGGTGCCTTCAGCCTCGGTGACGTCTTTCGCTCACCTCTGAAGGAATACTCCCTTTTCTGTCTGCAGATATCTTTAGAGATGCGTGGAGGAAAAAGAAAGGCTTCCTTCCCTGTGGGGAGGTGAATACACTGTCTCAGCCAGTGTCAAGGTTGTTCTTAGAGTTGAAGTCTCACGGTACCTGGACGTCCATGCTCTGTGAGAGTCGAAGAGCTGACGCAGCAGCCTGGAAATGCACGTATTGCAAAACAATGCTGTTTCCACTCCAGTTCTAATTAAAGAATGAAAACAGCAGAACATAAAACTCCTGAAGCTTGAGGAAGATAACAGACACCTGCAGCTTGGGTTGAATTCACCGCTTTTTAGGCTGGATGTTTCCTCCTCAGCTTTATTTTTCTTGAATAAAATATAAAACTTGTAAGGTTTTTAGGATGAAATGAATATATCATCTCCTAGAATATTTTTTTTTTCCTTTGCAAGTTTCGCCAGCGAGGGGCAGGTACCTGCCTGGCTGTCGCCCCCTGATAACTCGTTCTCTGGTTCTTCTCTAACCAGCTTGCTCCTGGGTGGGGCGGCGCCCTCCCCTCAGAGCATTGGAAGGGCTTTAAAATCTGCTCTGTCTAATCCTTTGTTAACCTTTCAGCTTGAAGTTTTTCAAGCCTGGCCAAGAAGCGGTGAAATACCAAGGTCCCCGGGACTTCCAGGCCCTGGAACACTGGATGCTGCAGACGCTGAACCAGGAGCCTGCGGTGAGTGCGAAGCCCCCGCCCCCCACTGCTGGGGAAGAAGGAGGCCAGTGTAGGTAAAACACTACGGATACCATTTCAAGGCTACATTTTACTCTTTAGGAATCATTGATATAAGTAAAGGTTAGCTTGTTTCCTTCTCATTTTTTTTTATTGTAGTAAAATACACATAACATAAACTTTACCATCTTTCTGCTCGTTTTAAGTGTACAGCCCAGTGGCATTAAATACATTCATAATGCTGTGTGACCATCACCACATCCCCCTCCAGGGGCCCTCTCTGTTCATCTCTAAAATGGAAACTGTACAGCTAAACACCGATTCCCCATCCCCTCCTCCTCAGCCCCTAGCAACCCCGTTCTGCTTTCTGTCTCCCTGATTTTCACTCCAAGTACCTTATGTAAGTGGGAAAGATGAACTTTTTAAAACCTTTTTAGTATGGAAATATTCAAATATGCACAAAAGTAGTAGCAAGAAGAGTCTAGGGCAGTGATTTTCAACCAGAGCGCCACAAGAATCTTTAAAACGTGCAGTACCTGACTATTTAGTCAGGGGGCACTGACCTCTTTTCCCTTAAATAAAAAAAGACAGCAGCCCACACAAATGGCCCTTGGATGTCAATGAATCACAATTACACCTTTTTTATTTTTTTGTCAGATCGACAAACAATACATTTTTCGGTGTGCTGCAGACTTCTGGTAAATCGCTGGTGATGAGCGTAGTGAAGATGGTCCCTGTGCCCATCCCCCAGCTTCAACAAGTGTCCCCGTTCTTACGGCCTTGTTTGTCTTCCCTGCCTCCCTAGCCCTCGTTTGGCTGCAGTCAGTGCTTAGCAGGTGTCGTTTGTCAATGTGAGCGTGCATCTCGCAGGTAAACACCTGGTGCATTTTAACGTGACCTCACTCTCACCTGTGATACAACGAACACAATTTCCTGAGCATCAGAGACTGCTGCTGGCCCTCCTGAGGTCAGGGCCCAGCCCTAAGCCGGAATGTCCAGTCCAGGCCACCCCTGGCCGGTCCCCCACTCCCGTAGCTGCCACCTCGCTCTTCCTTCCACTCGCTGTGCCCGGAGTGTGGGTCCTTTTCCTCTCAACCCTCAGTCCGTAAGACCCTAGCGGGCTTTGCTGGTAACATAATGCAATACTCTTCAAATTGTAGTGTCTTAATGTTCCTCCCAACCTAAGGATAATATCAAGAAATTGTGGAAGATGAGATATTTTTTAAAGACATAGCTATGTGTAGAATGCTACTCACTAGGAAACATTTATAATCCTCTCCTTCTCCCTTTGACATTGGGAGTTTTTATTCTTTTATAAATCATGGCAGCCATACATGTCGTGTCCCTTGTGTGTGGTGCTTCCGGATGAGTGCTGACGGCCAGCCCCACGGGGTCTGCGTGGACGTGGTCTGTGGTGGGGGACTGGGGGACTGGGCAGGTGGCTGACAGCCTATGTCGATGTTTCTGATGAAACATTTAAGAGCAGCCGAAGTCTTTGAGCGTGATTTTAATGAAACCCTTACCTTAGACTACTGTGTCAGGTGGGTGGTCCTGTGCAGTCCCAGCAGTCTCGGGCCTTCGCTGCTGTTGGTGTCATTTCCCGGGGTGTCTGCAGTCCCTCCGCTCTCCTGCGAGAGGCATGGTACTCCGAAACCCGCTGTGCCTCCGTGCACCTGGGTCTCTCGTTTCCAAGTCTAAGTGTGTGGTGAAGGGTGCTGGACTGTGGCGCTGAGTCTGTTGAGCAGAGGCTGACTTAATTTAGGCGACAGAAACCAGAGGCCTCTCTGCGATTTGCATCTCCGTCATGGCAAGAAAGCTGGGGAGTCAGGTGCGACTTTCGGGTCGATTCAAACCTCACGTTGCATTTGTCAGAATGTTCTCTGATGGGAGGAGGCTAATTTTAAAGAGGAAGTAATAGTCTCAAAAAAAGTTTTAAAATAAACTTCACCAAAAAAAAACAATCTTCTATGTTGACCATCCAAGAAACCCAGAGCCAGTATCAGAATGGTAGAGAGACTTCATCGCGGGGACCAGCTTCCCTCCACTTGGGGGCACCTGACGTGCAGCTGGGAGGGACTGAGGCCAGGCCCAGACTCGGTGCACCTGTCCTGAGAGGCAAGTTCTGTCTCCCTGCGGGGGGCTGCGCGGAATCGGCCCGGCGCGTTACCACCCGCAGTATCTTGGTCTCGCAGAGCAGTCGGGATCTCAGATAATCGCTAGAACGGGGACAGTGCGCCCTGCTGTAGAAATGCTCAAACATTCAGACTACTGTGACCCGAAAATCCTTTTCAAGCTGAACTTTGCTGTTTATTGTAAGCAAATGCTTTTTAAAAAGTTCTTCTCATCTGTGTTTATACCTAAGTAACTTGATATATACATTTTTATATTTAGAAAGGATAAATTTAGATTTCCCCCCATATTAAATATTAAAGAAACTCAAAGACAAGGAATCGTATCATTTCTTACAATCCATCCTGATTTTTATATGTCCATGTTTGCATCTGTATTTTTTCTTAACCAGTTATAGTCATATAAACATAGATTATTTCACGAGCGATCTCTTTTATGTACAGTGATACCTCGGTTCTCGAACGCCTCGGTTTTCGACCAAATGGAGATTCGAGAAACTTTTGTCTCGGAATCCGAACAAATATTTGGAACTCGAACTTCCGAGATGAGCCGAATGGCGTTCATTCGGCCCAGCGCGCCTTGCTTGCGTCATCAGTGTGAGTGCAGAGAGAGAGTCACGCTTTGTGGAGTCACGCTTTCCTATTGGTTTCATTGCTTCGGTTCTTGAACAATTCGGTTCTCGACCGTCCTCCTGGAACGAATTATGTTCGAGAACCGAGGTATCACTGTAGTTATATTGTCTTTATCTGATCATACAGTGTGTGGATTTGCCATAATTCACCTCTTTCTGTCCTCGGATGTTTAGTTATTTATAATTTTCCTGTCATCAGAAATGCTATAAGGAACATTTTATTTATTTATTTATTTTTTCTTTATTGATTTTAGAAAGAGAGGAAGGAAGAGGGAGAGAGAAATAGAAACATGGATGAGAGAGAACATCGATTGGCCATCTCCTGCATGCCCCCCACTGGGGATCGGGCCCACAACCTGGGCATGTGCCCTGACCGGGAATCGAACCGGCGACCTCTTGGTGCATGGTTTGACATTCAACCACTGAGCCACACCGTCGGGCATGTTTGTTTATTTATTTTAAGGACATTTTTTCTACCTTTTAGTTATGTTTTTAGAATATATTCCCAGACGTAAAATAGCAAGACAAAAAATTAAAAAATGAAAGCAAGACCTCTTTTATGGCTCTTGATCAATGCCGGCAGATTGCTTTCTTAAGAATCTGGAGTGTACCCATTTCTGTCCTCTGCTGTGGTGTTCCCACGACGACAGGGCCTCTGGCATCTGCCACAGCAGAGGCGTGATGGAGTCCCCAGGTGCCATAAGCAGCATTTTTATCCTGACAGCCCTTTGACCATCTTCGAACATGCAGAGAGTTTTGTTTCGCCCTCTGGGGCCCACCGACTCCCGCAGCCACCCTCCTCTCGGGCTTCCCTTGTGAGGGCGCCTAGCACTGGAGCGGTCGACAAGCCAGCAGCAGAAGGGAAAGCTTCACGGGGTTTGTGATCACAGCTCCGTTCACCTTTGAGCTGTCAGCATTTTAAAGCTTTTAACGACCTAACTTGGATGTACTTTTCCTAGAAATATGAACTGCCACACAACAGTTGAGTAATTCCCATGTGTTGACAGCAAAATGGTAATTCAGTGATCTTTTCTTTACTCTGGCTGTACTGGCCTCAAAAACTGACAATTTGGAATTGTGTCATAAGTACTATGGTAACTGTATAGTTGTACACCTTGGTGTCTGCTCAGGTACTGGCAGAAGCATCTTTTAAAAAAAAATTTTTATTGATTGATTTTAGAGAGGAGAAACACCGATTAGTTGTTCTGCTTACTTATGCATTCATCGATTGGTTCCTGTATGTGCCCTGACCAGGGATCGAACCCGCAGCCTCGGCGTATATCAGGGGATGCTCTCCCTGAGCTGCCCAGCCAGGGCAGAAGCGTCTCTTAAAAAGCGACTTCTTGCACCTTCATTGTGTGTTTCTGTCCCAAACTTAGTCATTTGAGTTATATTCGTCCTTAAAAGTACAGCTCATGTTTGCCCTGAGGTTTTCTCCTTGTTTCCTTAATTCATCCGAATGCACCTCTCTACCTACCCTTCTCGTTTGTCCGTCCCTTGGAGTGCTTCCTTGCTGCGCAGGTTTTCGTTGCCGGTTTCCTACCGTTTGTGTGAATAAATGATAGCCAGGCCGTTCTTGCCTCTGGTGGTTTTTCATGTTCAGTTTCGTCCAGTCTGCAGTCTTTTGTCTTTAGGTCGTCCTTCCTTCAGATCAGCCCACCAGGAGCTTCATGTTGTATTCGGTGTGAAATCTCAGGTCATCTTTCAAAGAACGGAACCGAGTACTAGTTTGGGGAGGGCCTGTCCTTCATTGTGCTCTGTTTGATTGCGTTCCGGGCAGCAAACGACAGGTTGAGGTGGGGATGGCTGTCGCCTGCTTCCCGGGGGCCTTCTTACTGAGCGTCCCGGAGACCTGACCATGGATCCTGCCCTGCCCCCCCCCCCCCCACGGCAGCATCCCGGACAGGTTCAGGACAGCCAGGGGGGAGGACAGCTGCAGGAGGCTGCAGACAGGCACAGCTCACCTCCGGGGCCATGGCACTGTCTTCGCAGACAGACTCGGTGACTGTTTCTGTTCCTCCCTGTCAGACACCGGCCCCCGAAGCAGAGCCGCCCAGACCCCCCGAGCGGAAGCAGGGGCTGTATGAGCTCTCAGCGAGCAACTTCGAGCTGCACGTCACACAAGGTACGGCAGGCGGGTCGCGTGGGCGCGCGCAGTGGGGGACACCTCTCAGAACCCCCTGGTCCTTCCTCCCTGGGTTGCCGGCTTGTCCTTCTTGCCGCTTGAGGGCTCAGACAAAGCAGCGTCTGTGCACTAGGTAGGGATCTCCCCGTTCAGGAGCCATTTCCATCATTCGACGCTCTTCCTCTCGGAAAGTATTCCTCCTCTGTCTCTGTCCTTATAGAAGTGAGAGTTTTAATGCAAAGCTAAAGCCTTGGGTGTGGGAATTTGGGCCCAAAGATCATGAGTGACACACTTAACCTGTACACTAGCTGTACACATCCTTGGATAAGAAAGGGTGTGTTTGTATTCATGTTAATTAGATCCTTATTGATCTGAGAAATAACACTTTCTCTTGTCTGCTCTGGCTGGCGACCAGTTCCCGATCAGGGCCCATTCCCAGGTTGTGGGTTTGCTCCCCTGTGGGGGCGTGTACAGGGGGCGGCTGATTGATGCATCGCTCAGGTCGATGTTTTTCTCTTGCTCTCCTTTCTTCTCTCTAAAATCAAAACCTTCCCTTATCAGTTTAAACTAGAATTTAGTTTATTTAGTGGAACCTTTGTAACATGTGAATCAGAATAAGTGTTCTTTACACTTTAAAATCTTTTCTTAGACCACATCTCGTTTCTGAAAGTGGACTCCTACGTGTGAACATTATCTGTGTCCGGTTCTAATGTTCCTAACGTAGGTCCTTCCTGCACACGTTTCGGAACACCTTCCCTGCCGATTCTGCTCCCCTTGGAGAAGTCCGCCCGTGGGACGGTTGGAAATGTTGGGGAAGGGGTTTAAGGTCTCATGTCCAAATAAGTCACCCACCACACTGAAGGTCGGGAATGACCCGGTGCCATCAGCTCCCTCCGCTTTTGTCCCAGATGACTGTCTGCTCTGCACCGCGCTCTGGAGGGGCGTCCAGGGCGTCCCCGATGCTGTGATGCCGGAGTCACCTTGGCGACCGTTTCCCGCAGGCCCACCCTGGGCCTCCCTCAGCAAGCCCTCGCCGAGGGCAGCATTCTGGGGTGCGGCTGGCGTGCGGGCTCTCCCGGGGGGCAGCCTCCCGCCCACGGCCCTGGACATCTGTCTGCACCTCAGCAGTGGTGCAGCAGCAGAGCTGCGTGGGGAGATCGGTTTCTGCCGTGAGGCTCAGTTGCTGATTCTTGCAGCACGTTTTCCACCATTGCCTTCGAACACGCGTTCACCCTGCTGGGGCTGCTGTGAGCGTCCAGCCCCGAGTCCAGTCCCCTTCCGGCTCCTCGGTCAGCTTCCTCCGGCCACAGCCTGATTCCGTGGGGCTCAGCCTCAGCTTTTAGGCCCCAGGACGGTCAAGGTGGAGCAGCCTAAAACACCTTCAGTGTCTAAATAATGATGTTTGGTCTTTTTTTTTCCTCCTAGCCAAGGGAGTAATATTCAGTTTTGGGGGTTTTTTAAATCCTCACCCGCAGACATTTTTGCATTCATCTTCAGACAGAGCAGGAGGGAGAGAGAGAAACATCAATGTGAGAGACACACACTAACTGACTGCCACCCACATGACCCCAACTGGGGCCGGAGACAAACTGCAACCGAGGTACACGTGCCCTTAGTAGGAACTGAACCCAGGACTCTGGTCCGCGGGCTGGTGCTCTAACTGCTGAGCCAAACCGGCCAGGGCCATATTCAGTTTTTTAAACCTTCTATTTTATTGTGAAGTAAAACACAGATGCAGGAGACAAGCATAGGGCTCAGTGAATTGCTGTAAAGCCGTCGTCCTGTAACCATTGTGCAGTTCAAGAGATACACCTGCCAGCCTCCCTGACCCCATCCCGGTCGCAGCCCCTGAAGAGGCGCTGTCCTGACTTCCTGGAAACCACTCCTTGCTTTGCTTGGTGGTGTCATCACCCCGGTGTGTGCAGTAGTTTAGTTCGATCTTTTAAAAATATATCTGATTTAGGTCTGTTTAATCTACATGCATGCCCAGCACCTCTTTTTCTTCCTCACCTTTGGTTTGCTCACCACAGACATGGTTTGACCTGCAGAGTTGTCCACAGTGTGGCCTTTGCTGACTGTACCCCACGACGTGGCCTAACACATGTCCCTGATCTCTCTGGTCCCTGCGAACTGCTACCTGGATTGAGAGACGTGATCAGTTTCTGTTCTATGTTTCTGGGGGGGTCCAGGCAAGACTGCATAGCTGCTGATGTCTCTCGGTGTTGGCAGCTGCAGCGTCACGGGCTGGGCGTGTCATCCAGGGGGTGCTGCTCTCGGTGACGCATCCCGGCCTCACTTCTTAGCAAGAGAAACTGGTCCTGGTTTATCCGTTGGTTATTCAAGACAGGGTAAATGCCTGATTCTTCCCCTTTATGTCCAGTTTTCCATACAACACGTTGGTTCCCAGTTGTCCTCCAGAGATGACAAATTCGTTTTTGCTTTGAGGATCGCATTGAACTCAACGGATGTAGACATTTTTGGTGGTGGGGGGGGTCACTTTTCACCCGTTAAAGGCTTCATCCTAGACTGAGCTTTCTGAGGACAAAGATGAGATGTTTCCATTCGATCTCCAGTTAGGTGTCGTGTAAATTTCACTCCCTTTCCCCTCTTCTCTGCCTTGGCTCCCCCGGAAGGCGACCACTTCATCAAGTTCTTCGCTCCGTGGTGTGGGCACTGCAAGGCTCTGGCTCCAACCTGGGAGCAGCTGGCTCTGGGCCTCGAACATTCCGAAACCGTCAAGATTGGCAAGGTAAGTGCAAGCCCTTGTTCAGCTGCAAATAGCCTGCCTCTGGCTGGATTAATTAGCAGAGTCGCCCATTATTCATTCTGTGTGCGAAGTCGCAAACTTGATTTATTATTTCCATTTAGTGTGCCACTTGATCGTTCATCTCACCCTCACAGACGGCAGCCTGGTTTCGAGTGTTCTGGCTTTTCCACAGCCGAGAGATAAATTATGACTTTGGCTCCTTTGTTTATTTTGAAGCGATGGCCAATTCTGAATTGGCAGCCCCGGAGCCTTTCTCAGAGATAGGGCCAGAGCCTTAGAGAGTGTTCACTGGACGTGCTTGGAGACCGTCCACGCCTGATCTCACCCAGGAGCCTGTCCGGACGGACTCGGCTCTGCTCGCAGGGGCGCAGGACGCCCTCCGGAGTCCCCGCCTGCCCTGGCTCCGGGCCTTCTCTCCAGCTCTTCCCACCTGATGCAGAGAAGCCAGACGTGAGGTCTGACGACTTCTGTGTAACTGGATGTTCTCAGAATGCCTCTCAGCGTTGGTGCCATAAGCACTTTGATCTTATCTGTGCTCTGGCACCCACCAGACACCCCTGCCTGGATTTCCTTTAACGAAAATCTCATTGTCTGCATGGCCAGGGCCCGATCTGTGTGCAGATAACGCTGTGTGGTCGGAAGCTAGAGTCAGGACAGTCTACCCAGTGGCGAGATGGCCAGAAGCTGTTTGGGAGGCAGGTGGACCTGCCGGCCAACCCAGGCCGCTTTCCCACAGCGCTCTGTCCCTCTTCGTGAAGCGGAGGTGGGGTCTCACTGGTGGTTATGTGGATGAACGTGAAAAGCTTGGCACGGAGCAGATGGCTGGTAAACTGTAATCGTTGTTATTAGTTAAATGGGTTTTTCAGTGTTGTCTGCAACACTTTCAGTAACATGTGCCAGTATCTATGTGTATGATTATGATTTTATATTTACTGACCATTTCATGGAAGTAATCATAAGGACCTTCTTGTCTTCTGTCTTCCTACTCCTTGTATCCTTACTTTACTGTTTGAATGTCGGTGAGAGATTTTTATTTTCGGTGTATATCCCTAGAGTGGACCCAGTCTCGAGTAGACGGGACGCAGCACGTGCTGCCCGCCCCGTGCTGCGGTTGCTCTCAGCTGCTCTCGGGCTCCGGCCTGACCCGTTGCAGCAGCATTTCCATCCTGCCTCAGTGACAGTGAGCACCGGCTCGTCCCACACAGCCGACTTCAGTGCCGGTAGAAAAAGAAGTGACTTACGATAAAATGTTTTACGAACATGTTGAATAAGCAGAATCTTGTAAAGATTTTAATGTAATAAAAAATCTGGGTGAGGAACATGAGGAATTAAGAAGCACAAATTGGTTGTTAGACTGATGAACCTCAGAGGGAAGGGGGGAGGGAAGAGATAGACCGGAGAACTTCTATGCATATGTGCACAACCAGTGGACACTGACAGTAGTGTAGGGAAGGCAGGAGGGGGGCAGGATAGGGGAGGACGGGGGTAAATGGGGGAAAAAAGGGGACATCTGTGATACATTCAACAATAAAGATAGGTTTAAAAATAAAATAAAATGTTTAGAGCCCGAAAAAAAAGAAAATCTGAAGAGCTATGCTGGTTGGTAAATTGAGTTGATAGAATTAGGGACATAGTATAATCTTCGACCGGCCAGTGTGCCTCAGTGGACTGAGCATTGTCCCATGGACCCAGAGGTCCTGGTTCGATTCTGGTCAGGGCACATGCCCGGGTTGCCGGCTTCATCCCCAGTAGGGGGCGTGCAGGAGACAGCCGATCGATGTCTCTCACATCAATGTTTCTTTCTCTCTTTCCCTTCTTTCAAAAAAAAAAATTAGTAAAAACATTTAAAAAAAAAAATTAGGGACATAGTATAATCTTAATTTGACATCTTTTCATTTTTATCTTTATCATATACCAAGTACTTCTATTTAAAATGGACTGCTTGCTCCTCCTTGATTTTAAAACTATAAGTTTGAATGTGAGAATACATTTCTAAACTAGCATTGTGACTGGTGCCGCCGAGGTCAGGCCTGCCCCTCCCTGGGTGTCAGGCCGGGCTCCCCTTCCCCACCTATTAACATGCTCAAGGTAAAGTGTTGCTTCCTAAAAATGGGCATTTTAAGTGAGTGAAATAAGTCCCGTCTCTAAGGCGAATGCCGTCCTGCTCCCTTAGCTCAGGTGTCTTGGGCAGGTCAGCAGGAAAGGTCTGTGCAGGACTGCAGCTTGCTGGCGAGATGCTCCAGGCCAGGGGCTTTAGAATTTTTCACGATAAAACAACTCCTGAGTGCCCAGCAATCCGTTTTGACAGGAAGGCTCGCAGAGGTGCTGACGGGGACTGTGGTCTTGACTTGCAGGTGGACTGCACACAGCACCATGAGCTCTGCTCAGGAAACCAGGTCCGTGGCTACCCCACGCTGCTGTGGTTCCGGGACGGGAAGAAGGTATGCCTGCAGGTCTTGGTGAGACAGAATGTTTCCCTTAACCACGGGGGGCTGGGCTGTCAGGGGCTTAATAGGCAGGCATGCAAGTTGCCAGAATGGATTGTTTGGGCGCTGGCTTAAATTAGGATACACGTAATGGAACAAAAATGCTTCTCTTAACTGATAAGATTTGGGTAGTTGAGAAAAACTGTCGGTTTTTATACTATTTTGAAACTTTTCGTTTGACTCAGGTTATCACGAGAATAACCCGCCCCTGCTGCCCTAGGGTAGCAGCTCTGGGCAGGGTTCATGTTCACTCCCTCCTTCCGTCCTGGCCATGGGCAGCTTCTCAGGGTCCCCGAGGGGCCCCCAGGCTCTGACTACGGCTGTGCAGAGGGAAGGAGCTGGAGGCGCTCACCACAGCCAACCCTCGGTTTGCAGGCTGTGCGCCCCCATTTCGAGCTGAGCATGCAAACTGCACAGCTCCCTTGGCCGCCGGGCAGCATCCGGTGGCAGGATTCTCCTGGGCGAGCGGGTCGGGAGCTTTGAGTGGCTCGAGCACCTCAGCACACTGACTCGGCGGTGTGTCTGTGTTGCCTCGTCTGGACAGATCGACCAGTACAAAGGAAAGCGGGACCTGGACTCCCTGAGAGAATATGTGGAATCCCAGCTCCAGAGTGTGGAAGGAGGCGCCCCGGAGACCGCCCAGCCCTCCGAGGCTCCCGTGCCACCCAAGGCCGATGAGGTGGGTACCCGCCAGCACCGCCCGCAGCGCGTTCCCCTCGGATGCTGGGGCAGAACGAGTCTTAGGACACAGCCATTCAGAGCGTTGGTGATAGCTGTCAATACAAAGCATTTTCTTTGACACCTTTACATGCTTGTAAGGGGTGTTGGGAACAAAATCTCCCTGAGGTGGTCGTGAGGAAAGGCCTGAGAGGATAGAGCCGCAGTCCCCGGGAATCTCCCTTGGAGTCCGTCATCCCTGTGCTTGAGGACGTTTGTGGTGGAAGCTGGCCCGCTGCCTCTCGGGCCATGCACCTCCGCAGCGCTCAGCCCTCGCCTGAACCTGTGGTCTGTAAAGACCCGGAAAGTCCGTAGCGGGGCAGCTGTGCGCGCTGGAGCTGTGCGCGCTGGAATTGGAGGCAGTGACTGGAGAGCACTCGCTGTGCTCAGCCCGTCTCTGATGTACTGCGTCACCGTCAGTCTTCCGGACAGTGTGAGACTTGAGATTCGTTTGTTCTGTGATGATCAAGCCCTGTTTCAGGCACTGTCCTGAGGTCTGGGGGGGACACAGGAGGTCATATGCACGCAGGGGTCGCAGGGACTCTGACCAGTGTGCAGGGCCGGTCGCTGTTGTTTGAGGGAGGGAGAAAGGGGACAAGGGGTGCAGGGCAGGATGCCAGAGAGAAGGAGCAGTAGGAGCTAGGCTGAAGGGGACTTGGTCGGCCATCCAAGGCTTTTGAGCTTTATTTATGGTCATCCGATGGAAGGTTTGAGTTTTAGAAAGATGACTAAAGTGAAAAAGGTGGGAAACTGGTGTATGAGGCCATAAAAGATGCTGAGACCCCAGACTAAGGCTGTGGCGGTGGGATGGGCAGCAGGAGTCCCGCGGCGTCGCCCGGCGCCCAGCAGTGGGGACGGGACGGTGGGCTGGGCCATCTGGCACAGCGGGCGGGGGCGGTGGCACCAGCACGAGAGAGCGCCAAGGGGGACGGCGATGTGTTCAGTGTTCAGGGTGTTGGTTTTCAGGCCGTGGTGGGTGTTCAGGTGGTGATACCAGCAGACAGTGAATGCATCAGCCTGGAGCTGCAGCAGGTGTCTGAGTCTGGAGCTTTAGGTAGAAGCTGAAGCCAAGGGTGGAAAAAGTTCAATGGAAGTCAAAATAGTGTTTTCCCGGAAAACAGTGCTTGGATTTCCCAGCTAAGAACCATGAGGCCTGTTTGTCAACATACTTCTGAAGCAGGGTACTTAGTGCTGCTGTTTTAGTTCACACAACTGTGCTTCACAGCATGCCAGCTGCTCCCTGGGACCCGGGGCACTGCAGGAAAGGAAGGGCGGGGCGCCCTTATTCCTCGGGGGAGGGCAGCACGCCCCATGTGCCCGAACACTCCCAGGAACCCCCAACCCTCTTGACAGGAGAGATCATGACCAGCTGGAGCTGGCTCCCCGAGCCCCGGTGCTGTGCAACTGAGAAACCAGTGGATCCCCCGGGGGTCCTGGGCTCCGCGTGCCCACTGCCCAGCCCTTGGTTGGACTCTTGCAGGATGGGGCCTGGCCGCCTGGGTGTTAGAGTTGAAGTTTGGGTTTGAGAAGTAAACACATGATTTAGTTGTGAGGACCACGTGTGTTAGAGGAGTGTGTGTCATGGTGGTTCCGAAGGTCGTCCCAGATCGAGCATAATTATATACTGTGGGTGTTTTCATCCAACACAGAATGGTTTCTATTTATAATGAAGTTTTCCGCCATTAAGTGGGTCTTTCAGGGAGTGTGGTGCCCTATTTCTGGACGTAAAGAAAGATGGCAGTGTTCTGCAGTGGCCCCGCCCACGCACCTCCGGGCACCGACACCTGCTGCTCGATGCCACACCCAGTGGAGCGGCCCTGGTACCTTCAGCCACAGGATAAACCATCCATAGTCTTGCTCTCAGGAGAGAATCGCAGGTGTATTTTTGGAGAAACACAAGACATGATTCTCTGAAGAACTATCAAGATAGAATCCCTTCAGAGCAGACTGCCTGGTGTCACCTTTCTCTTAAATTATGCAGCCTGAGCGCAGAGGAGCAGTTTTTACCTTCACTTTGAATTTAAAGATGGAAGGAAGCCTGTTGCATGTAAAGCATGTCACCGCCTGCGCTTTTGTAACTTTGTAGGGTCCCTCTGTGACATAGAGAAGATCATGTTTATGAATCCCTGTGACAGAACCGCATGTGTACAGACTTCAGGGGGCCAGGGTGCGGGTGTTTGGGCTCCGGTCGGTGTGGGAAGCTCCAAGCCGGGGAGGTCAGTGCAAGCCCCCGCCGCCTGGAGCCGCCTGGTCCCACTCCCAGCGGCTCCTGCACCCAGCCTGGCACAGCCGGTCCTCCAGGGGCCTCCCGCTCAGGACCCACGGACCTGCGTGAGCCCCTGCCCTTCAGTGGCCACGGCTCGGCCCTTTGTGTCGCTCGTGAAGCGCAAGTTGTGTCAGTATTTTAGCATCGCCTTGCGTATGCGTCACACATGTAAAGTGTGGACCCGTGTCCCTGACCCTGGCCCGCTGTGCTCTAACGATGTATTTGCGTGTGCTTTTCCCCCGAAGGGCACCGTGTTGGCACTCACCGAGAGGAACTTCGACGACACCGTCGCGGAAGGAATAACCTTCATCAAGTTTTATGCTCCGTGGTAAGTGGCTCCTTAATTAGAAACCACTTTTCCGCAGCACTTCAGCCCCACCGCGCTGTCAGCTACAGCCAACCCTCCAGGCCGTCACTGGGCAGATGCTAGTTGTACGCGGGTTACGTCGTAGGGACAAGGCGCATTCAGAAAGAGCTGCTTGTGGAGAATGAGGTGAACTCATTTTCAAGTTCAGTCTGCTGTGCGGAAAACATGATAATGGAGGAGAACGATGGCCACACAGAACTGAAGTTTTACGGTATCTGTGTGCTTCTCCAGATAGCTTGCTTGTTTTGGTTCAATAACCCACGAGCGTCGCGGCGCAGCTTTGCTCCTTAGCCTCTCGTACATGTCAGAGAAATCCCGTCGAGCTCAGCTGTCAGCCATTCGGCACGTTACCCGTTCAGTGTGTGAGCACGCGGCGTCCGGGGACCAGGGCGGAGCCGGACTGCACGCACGTGGTTGGAGACCAGGCGCCCTGAGGTGGCTGACGAGAGGCCCAGGACTTCCCGTGAGTCCCGTGACTCGGGGTGTCTTTTACTGCCTCCAACCCTCAGTTTCCTTAGCGGTAAACTCGACGGGCTTTGTCTGCACAAAGGAAACATTCCATTTGGGGAAGCAGAGTGCTGGGACCGTGTTCGGTCCTGTATTTAAAAGCAAACAAGGTCGCCACGTCATTTTTGCTTTTTAGTTTGTTTCATTTCAGATATTCATGAGAAACCATGAGCAGAGATACAAGTTAATCAGCCCTGGCCAGTGTGGCCCAGTTGGTCATCCCGTGCACCGAAAGGTCTCGGGTTAGAGTCCTGGTCAGGGCACATACCTAGGTTGCGGGTTTGATTCCTGGCCGAGGTGTGTGCAGGAGGCAACTGACCAATGTCTCTCTCTCACATCAATGTTTCTCTTTCTCTCTCCTCCCTCTCCCTTCCTCTCTCTCTAAAATCAGTTTTAAAAAAACATATCCTCAGATGAGAATTTTAAAAAAAGTCGCCCTGGCTGGTTCTCTCAGTGGTTAGAGCGTCAGCCTGTGGACTGAAGGGTTGCAGGTTCGATTCCAGTCAAGGGCGTGTACCTGGGTTGCAGGTTTGCTCCCCGGCCCTGGTCAGGGTCATGTGGGAGGCAACCAGTCAATGTGTCTGTCTCACATCAATGTTTCTCTCTCTTTCTCTCCCCCTTCCTTCCACTCTATCTAGAAATCAATTTAAAAATATCCTCGGGTGAGGATTAACAACAAAAAGTTAATGAGCACATGACTCCTGAGTTGTGCAGTTTTTGTTTTTTTTGTTTTTTTAATCCTCACCTGAGAATATTTTTCTTCCCATTGATTTCTAGATAGAGTAGAAGGAAGGGAGAGAGAGAAAGAAAGAAACATCGATGTGAGAGAGACATTGATTCTTTGCCTCCCACATGACCCTGACCAGGGCCGGGGACCAAACCTGCAACCCAGGTACATGCCCTTGACCCTTTGGTCCTCAGGCAGATGCTCTAAGTGCTGAGCCCAACCAGCCAGGGCCGTTTTAGTTCTTACAGAATAGAAACACTGTAGTAAATAATGCCTTTAAAACTATTTTCTAAAAAACCTAAAGCTATACAGATCAGGTTAAAGACAGAGGATCCCCCTTTTATTGCAGGGGAGCAGTTCCTGTAGGGGGGTCAGGAAAGGGACGCAGTTCGGGCAGAGGGGAGGGTTTGAGTGACTTAGTTGGGGCTTCAGTGCCCACACCAAAGCACTAAAGCTTGGAGGGAGAGGTGACATTGTTTTGAAATGCTGAGACCATAGCCATCAGAATGGTCTAAAATGTGTTTGGCATTCGAGTGGTTAAAGTAAGAAGTTTGGAGCCTGTTTTGTTTTCTGTCCATGGTACTTTCCTAAACCAGTCAGCCCAGGGCACCCTATCACGGAAATGGTTTCAGAACCCAAACCTGTTTTCAGACCAGCTTGTCTCTATCGGGTTCTGCAGAGGTCTGCTTTGGACCGACTCTGACTTCCTGTCTAGGATGGGGAGGAAGAGAATGGGAGGATTTGGTGTTTTATACATTTCTAGGCAAGTGCTGACCGCCTCGTAGGGAAACCAGGCTTGGCAGTGAAAGGTCGGTGCATGACCTGTGACCGCGACCCGGTGTCCACAAGGCTGTCCTTCTCTTTCCAGGTGTGGCCACTGTAAGAATCTGGCTCCCACCTGGGAAGAACTCTCCAGAAGGGAATTCCCCGGGCTGGCCGAGGTCAAGATCGCTGAAGTGGACTGTACCGCCGAGCGCAGTGTTTGCAGCAAGTACTCGGTGGGTCCCGGCGGATGGGACCCTTGGGGGACCCCGGGTCCTGGAGCAGACCCCCCGTGCAGCCGGGATGTGGTGTCGTGGAACCGGGATAACTCACATCGCCCTCATCCCCTCCATAAGGCGCTCGTTGTGTCCTTGTGAGGTGTTTTAGTTTTTCATTTTGCAAAGGAGGAGAGGTGCTCTCTAAAAGGAAGGCTTTGTCCCTGTGTTCGTGCACACGTTTCAGTGGGGGTTCGAGGCCTGGCCGTCGGGGTCGAAGGCCGGGCAGTAACTGAGACTCCACCCTGGGGTGGGCGCCACCTGAACCACATTCTCACTGACAGAGGCCGCTGGCCGCAGCCTCCATCATCAGCACCAAAGTTCTGCAGTCCAGCGGCCGATGCCGGCGAGCCGGTCCTGGGCTCGTCTCTGTATTTAAGTGTTTCCTTCTTTCTGAGCCGGTAGCACCCTCGGGTAGCCTACAAGATTCCTAACTTGTATTTTCCTTGTGTGTTGCTGTCTTGAAACACATTTGAGGTTTCTGATGTGCATATCTCATCAGGTTGAGAATAGATGTAGCACAGGCATTTTTATTGTGCCTTAAAATTCTCGAGAGAAAAGAGCTGAGTTGCAGCTGAAAGATACATCTTGAGGATCTCGGTACTACTCAGCATGGCCCACTGAGTGGCCTGGCATCCCCTGGACGCTTGTCAGGATCGCAGAGTCTCAGGCCACACCGACCTTCCCGGGGGCACCTGTGCACAGGAAGGCTGAGGCCCTCCGCCTGGGGACAGGCATCCGCCTGGGGACAGGCATCCCTGTGACGCTGATCGGGAATGTCATTTTCGATTGGAAAGGGAATAAATAGCCCCGCGGCTTTGCTTTCTGAACTAGCTGGGACTTTTTTTAATCCTCACTTGATATTTTTCTATTAATCTTCAGATAGAGTGGGAGGGGGAGAGAGAGAGAGAGAAACATTGATGTGAGAGAGACACGTTGACCAGCTGCCTCCCGCACAACCCGACCAGGGCCAGGGACCAATTTGAAACAAAGGTACATGCCCTTGACTGGAATCGAACCCAAGACTTCAGTCCTCGGGCTGATGCTCCTCCAACTGCTGAGCCAAACCGGCCAGGGCTATCTGGTACTTTTTAAATGGTCGGTACATCTTAAAACTTTAACCATAGACTCTCCTGACCACAACCATAGGCGTTTATCTGGTTTTATTTAAGAAGTAATTTGTGTATGATTCAGACCACTGGTTTCAAACTGAATCCTTTCTTTAAAGGTGCGAGGCTATCCCACATTGCTGCTTTTCCGCGGAGGGAAGCAGGTCGGCGAGCACAGCGGGGGCCGAGACCTGGAATCCTTGCACCACTTTGTTCTGCGCCAGGTGAAGGACGAACTATAGACACGCAGGTGGCCCCTGGACCGGGTGGAGGGGCCGAGGCTGCGGACGTGGAGTTGCAGGTGGTGGTGGTTCGGAAGGCTGAGCTCCTGAACTTATGGTATCTTCTTTGTGTGTGTTTTTAAGCCCACACACCCTACAGGTTCTTATTAAGTTTCTCTAAGTAAATATGATCCCTTTGCAAACTAAATATTTTCAGTGGAAATCTATCATCCCCTTTAACCTTCTCTTGATGGAATCTAAATGGTTTTCTCTGAGACTAAAATAGAGTTGAGGAAAATCAAATCGCTGGACTATTTTTGGCTCCTGAGTGATTTTGGTGACAGCATCGTCCAAAGCATAGTTCTGAACTGCCCACGAGTCTGGGAAGGTGGCCCTGTGGCAGTGTCGACGCCCCTCCGGTCTCAAGGTCACAGCCGACTTACCAGCAGTGTGGCTGGTTTGTAGCTTGGAGCAGATTTAACAACAAAAACCCCACACCTCCGAAGATACCGTCATGGCCACGCCTGGACTTTGTTTCTGTTACTGCTTCTCCCACTGGGGGAGGTTTTCCATCACGGAAGCTGTGGGACTTCTGACATGTGCCTGAGTAAGATACGCCGTTGCCATAATCCTGTGTCGATGTTTGTCAAATCCGTTGTCACCGTTCCAGGGATACTTCTGTTTGTTTCTCATGGGCGAAAGAGTTCATTAATCATGCTAACATTAATTCAGTCCGTGTGAAGATTTTTAATATTTAAAGTCCATATTTAAGATTTGATGTCCCCCATGGGAATGTGGGCATGGAAAGTTCCGTGAAGTTTGTCCTGACTGTTCTGTTAGCTCAGAAAGATTCTGGTTGACTCTGTCACCTGGGGAGGAGGACCCGACGAGCTGCTCGGGGCCCGGGGACCAGGGGACCTGCAGTCCGCTGCAGGCCCAGACTGGACACCGTTTGTCCTCGTCAGTCCTCCTAGGGGCTCGCTCTACACCGCCCGCCTTCGCGGAGCTTGGCCCTCTGCCGTGAAGAGTGGGATTAGCTTGACCTAAAGACCAAAGAGTGAAGTAGGCAGGGCCGAAGCAGGCTGTGTACCCTCAGTGCGCCCTTCTAATTCATGCCATCCCAGGGATTAAACATTTCTACCGTCACCCTCGGAAATCAGTAACCACGGGCTCCCCTAAGACAGGTGCCTGTATGTTCTTTGCCATCAAGTTACTTCTGATAGGAACCCCTCTGTGTCCACCACTCTGCACCCCACCGCCCATGCTCGGGGATCTCGTCACTTGGCACAAAATCACTGGTGGTACGAATCTTAGACACAAGACCATGTCTGCGGCCAGCGGCAGATGACAACAGAGCAGATCCCGACCAGCCTCTGCCTTAAAGGAAATCTTTATTCATCGTGTGTGGCTCACAGGCGTTCTTTTAAAAACCCCAACTTCTGGAGAAGCACAATCCTCGTGAGTGGCTTCAGCTTTGCATCACGAGTCTTGTATCGAAAGAACAAAGTGGTACAATTTGTTTACACTATGATACTTTCTAAAATAAACTTTTTTTTTTTTAAAAAGTCTGGTCTTTCCTTAAATGTTACAGCAAAACAGATATAAAATAGACAATAAATTATAGTTTATATTTACAAAAAAGCTGTAAGTGCAAACAGTTATAGATCATAAATGTATTATTTAATCAGTTTAATATGAAATTGGTTTTCTAGTACATGATTGTGAAAAAGACATTTAAAAAATACTCTAAGATTTCATCTGAGTCTTACTTTCTACAGGAGAAAACCGACGTTGTTTCGTGAACAGCATGGCCATCCAGACCCACTGGGGCCGCAGCCCTTGCTCCGCTGCTCCTTGGCTGGTGCTCACCTGCCACAGGCACTGCTGTGCGGGGGAGGGGGCCAAGGGGCGGGGGAGGAGCTCAGCCCGGGCCCCTGCGGGGTGGGCGGGAGGCAGAGGGGCTTTCCCTCGTCACGGGGGGCACGATGTCTGTGAAAGATGCGTCCCACCCGTGGCCGCGCCCCGAGCAGGAGCCGCCTGCTTTTGGTACTAGCAAAGGAAACAGCGAGGGGGACCGAGGTGTGGAAATGACGTGGTTTGTTCGAACCGAAATAATTCTACTTTCACACTGACACACACCAGCACAGACACACAACAGCAAGTACTGAGACAGAAGGCACGTCCACGTGGCCCTGGTTAGGGCCCGGCGGTGGCTCATCTGAGACCCCTGCCTGGGCTCGGAACCCGCGCGGCGAGGTGTTCCCCCATTTCTGTCGCCTGGAGATCTGCTCTGGAGAAACGTTCCTAAACCAGCTGATACTTTAGTCAAGAAGACTTTTACTGCTTTAAAATTATTGTCTCTATTTACTCAGTAACACTGCAAATAGCTTGATTTAAAGCTAAAACTAATTTTGGTGGGCTTTCGTGGGGGGAGAGGAACCCGTCCAGGTTACGTTTCTGCAGTCACCAGACCACACTACAGACACTCGGACAGCGTCCTGCGGACCAGCTGCGCTCGGCCTCGCTGTGGGCAGGTCAGCGCGGCCCCCTGAACTCGGGCAGTGACGCCGGCCGCGTGAGCCGCTGCCGGGCGCTACCGCTCGCAGGCTTCTGGCGCTCTCCCGGGCACGTGTCACCAGGTGGCATCCGCGTCCCCAGCAACTCGGTCCACGTTAGTGGCATCCACACGCTCTCACAACCATATTCCTGTATTTCTTCAAGATGACATTGGAGTTGTCGTCAAAGTACAGAACCGAGATGGCATTCAGTTTGGTTGGCGCGCAGCACGGTTTGGGGACGTACTCGGGATTCATTAGGTGAACCTGTCCCAAAACAGGAGGAGAAGTGCCCGTTAGGAACCTGGTCCTGGCTGATGCCTACTGCAAAGCGCCAAGCTCTGAGCTCACCAGCGTCTGGACGATGGCGTGGTTGGTGGCGTTCATGTGCGCGTTGAGAGGGAAGGAGCACTCTCCGTCGCAGTAGTTGGCAGCGTACCCCTTGGGTGCGATGATCCAGTCCTTAGTTTAAAAAAGCAAAAGCAAGCAACCAAAAGGTGATCAGCATACACTGCTGACATCCTCTGTGCTCTGTCATCCTGTGAGAGGAAGTACCCACGTGGACAGGCAAGGAGACATGGAGGAAGGCCGATTTCACGCAGGTGGCACAGCTAGGGTGTGAGCCGGGCCCGTCGGCTCCGGAGCCCGCCCTCCTTCCACAGGCATTTAGCTGCTTCCTGCCTGCCAAGCTCGGAAGCACACAGGCGGCTGGCTTTATGTACTTGGACCCAAGGGAGCCTCTGCAGGAGCCCAGGGTCCTCCATGTCATGCCACCTGCATATGGACACTATCTTCTATCACTTGTCACCTATAATTTGCTGCTTATAAACTAGTGGCGACTGTCAGGGGTGGGGCAAAGCATTTGAGCTCCTCCAGATAGTTTGGGTGAGCCGACTCATAGCCATCGCCGAAGTTAACTATTGATCCCTTCTTCCAACCCTTTCTCAAAAAAAATTTGTTTAAATTCCCATATGTAAATACATGCCCGATGGACTTAGAAAGAATGAGGAAAGAGTATTGGGAAAGATGGTTATTGATTTTTGAGGTACACAGAACTGGGGAACCCTGGGATCCCTGGCAAGGTGCCCATAAGGGCTGTGGGCACACGTAAGCCAGGCCTTCACCCGCCTCCCTGCCAGAGCCTGGGCCTCTGGAAGTGCTCCTGGGTACCTCCACGGGGGGCCACCTCGGCCCTCACGCCTAGTCTGAGGTGGCCTGCTGCACGAGGGTGAGGAGCCTCCGAGAAAGGAGACCCGTCCCCTGATCCGAGAACTTACCTGCCACCCCAGGTCTTGGAAGCTCACATAAAGCTCATGCTTCCTGCAGGCTGTTTTTAATTCACTGCTGTTGTAATCTGTTGGAAGAGATCAAAACACGCACCCATGAATTCATTCATTCCCTCACTGTACTAGGCTCCGGAGAGCAGTGAACCAGGCCCCTACTGGACACAAATGTGGACATCAAACAGCTCCACCAGGTCCCCAGCTGCTTGGATGTTTAACACACTCTGTCTTGTCCACTCTGGTCTTAGTGCTGGGCACACTTGCACAATATTATGATAAATTGGGCACAACATTATGGTAAATACAATTGACTTGAATGGAATCCTTGAAGCAACAGGTGTTTGTTGTGCGCCCCTGTTGTGTGCACGATCTATCGAGGGGGTGTGCCAAGACGCCCCGAACACTCTGGGCTCCTGACGTGGAAGATGTCCAATGTAGACTAAAGGACAACTATCCCAGGTAGCATGTGCTATATTTCAAACAGGGAAGGGCTTGAAGATGTACAGGGGCTTTAAAGAGAGCCGCTGGGCCAGGAGAGCATCGGGAAGGAAGACAATGGAGCGGGCCCTGACCAGGAGCCCAGGAGTGGGGGAGGGAGGGAGACCGGCTGCAGGGGCCATCCCCACCTGCTCTGTCCTGCAGCCTCGCTGCCAGGGTTCAGCCCTTTGACCTGCACTTAAGCAACCCTACCTACTAAGCCAGTAGTGCCTGTGAGAATCTGCTGAGGTGGACATACGTCCTGTGTGCCACTCAGCAGCCACCAGCCTGGCTTAACCGACTCACCGGTGAGAGGAACAGCAGTGCCCTGGCTCAGTTAGGCCCCCGGAGAGCACCTGTGTGGCGCCCTCTGCTAGGCACCTGGTGAAAAGGAAGGTAGGCTAGACAATGCCTTCCCCCTCCAGGAACTAGAGTCACAGGGGTGGCGCGAGATGTAGACATTCAGGGCGGGGTGAGGAAAAGAGCAGCTCTCCTGGGATGGATTTAAGGAGAGGAGAGGAGTCAGTGGAGATGAAGCTGGAGGAACTTTATCTCGATTGGCTTAGAACGCTAACTAAAATTCTTGGGCCCTTCCACCAGAGATACTAGGTTAGCCTTGAAATGTTTTTGAGTCAAACATGTTCGGAGCTGGGATTCTAAAGGATTGAGCTGATGTTAGTGATAGTTGGGAGTTCTAGAGAGGGGGGAGAGAGAAAGTAAGACTGGGGAGAAAGGTTCTGAAGCTAAAATGGACTTGGATGGATACAACCACCTGAGCCCATTTGCATGCTGCCTCTGTCTTTTTTTTTCTTTCTTTTTTTTTAATCACATGATCCAGTAAGTTGCCTGTTTGAACTGGTTTTTGTTACTTGCACTCCTGGCCCTGAGGCAGGCAGGACGCACACACAGATTTCATGATCTTGTAAGGGAAAGAGCAACAGTAGCAACCTAGCCCAGTAACCTGCTCTGAAAGGAGAGACAGGCTACCTTTCTGAGGTGGTTTCTAACTCCAGATTTACTCATTCCGCCCACCTGCCTTCCTCCGCACAGAACCTCCGTTGCTGTACTGAAAGCACCCGGAGGAGGGACTGCGAGACCGCCCGGGAGGGAATCCCCACGAGGGGGACCCACGGCTCTCTCCAGAAGACAAGATGCACCCGTCAACACCACAAAGCTACAGTGACTTCCTGCTGAACAGAATCCCTCAACGGAAAGAATCAACCACACAGAGAAATAAAGTATCCTGAGAGGTCAGTTGGATAGCAAGACAGAGCATGTATAGGACCCCAGGGACAGCAGGCGAGCGTCATCTCAGAATGGGTTACAAAAGAGAATATCTAACATAATGAGAGAGAAAATAGGAAATAGAACCCTAAAGTAAGAACAGTATGGAAGCCGTGGCTGGTTTTCTCAGTGGTGAGCGTGTCGGCCTGCGGTCCAGAGAGACCTGGGTTCGGTTCCCGCTAAGGGCACGTACCTCGGTTGCAGTTTGTCCCCGGCCCTGGTCGGTTGTGTGGGTGGCAGCCAGTCAATGTGTCTCTCTCACATTGATGTTTCTCTTCCTCTCTCTCTCTCGTTCTATCTGAAGATGAGTGCAAAAGTGTCCTCGGGTGAGGATAAAAAAAGGAAACAGTATGGAAAAAGAACAGGTGAATTTGAAACAGAATTAAATAAAACGATAAAAATCATAATCATTGAAAATAACATGAAAATGGATAGGCTAAATATCAGATTAGATATAACTGAAGAGAGAATTAAAGAACTGATCAATATATTTGAAGAAACTTCCCAAAATATTGCCCCGAGTCAGGTGGCCAGAAAATATGGCAATCTGTAGAGATGTGGAAGACAGAATAAAAAGCCCAATGTTATCTCTAATAGGAATTTCTGAAGAGATGAATGGGGAGAGCTAATAGTTGAAGACAGATGTCTGTGAATTTTCTAGAACTTCAGAAAAGCAGGCTTGTTTAATTTGAGAAGGCACAATGAGTCCTAAGCAGAGTAAATAAATTTCTATCTAGCCATATCTAGTGAAACTAGTATATCAAACACACAGAGAAACTCGTAAATGCAACCGAGATGAACAAAAAATTACCTACAAAGGAACGCAAAATTGATAACAAATTTCTCAACAGAAATAGAGCACATAAAAAATATCAAAAACTAGCCCTGGCCAGTTTGGCTCAGCAGTTGAGTGTCGGCCTGCAAACCAGAGTCCCAGGTTTGGTTCCCGCTAGAGGCACATATCACCAAAAAAAATAATATATATATATAAAAACTGCCCTGGCCAGTTTGGCTCAATGGTTAGAGGGCTGGCCTGTGGACTGAAGGGTCACAGGTTTGATTCCCAGTCAAGGGCACATATCAGGGTCATGCAGGAGGCAACCAATCAATGTGTCTTTTTCAATGTCTCTCTCTTTCTCTCTCTCCCTCCCTTCCAATCTCTCTGAAAAAAATCAATGGAAAAATATCCTCAGGTGAAGATTGACCAAAAAATAAAATTTAAATAAAAATAAATAACTATGCCATCAACCTAGAATTCCATACCCAGCTGTGGCAGCTATTTATTGTTTTGGTTACCCAGCATCTAGGAACAGTTCTCATTTGGGGGAAATTCCTAGATAAGTGGGAATCAAGGTCCCATTTCCAATGACAGATAGCCCTGTCTTTGTCCCTGGCAGTTAGAGACAGGCTTCTGACTTCATTAATGCCAATCCACTGCACCCACTTTTGAGAGAGTGACTCAAAGGGGAAACTAAGAGTGGGCGGCATGGCAGCAAATGTTCAGCGTGATGGCCCCAGTGGCAGTATTCAAACCACATTGTCCCCATGACCAGGTCCAAGCTAGAACTTGATTCTGAATTTGGTTCTCCAGCCTTGTTGGTTGGGTGAATTCCCTAACACACTTAAATTGTTTTTCAGTTTAAGCAAGTTAGAGTTTTCTTTTATTCCATGTAATCAAGAGTCCTGATTAGCTAAATTTTTATCCACAGTTAGAGAATAAGGAACACAGGGTGGCGTGGGCTCACTCTCTTACAGTGTCAGTGAGTCCATCTTTCTGTTGCAGTATCTTCTAAGCAGAGACTTTAAGGAACTTTGGGAGTGGGGCACGAGTTTATCTGAGGGAAGAATAAGTCATACAGTAGAAATGACAAATGTGTAGTCCCTGAGGAAGTACCGGTTGGCATATTCCAGGAATAGTCTGATGGAGGCTGCTGTGTGTTTGTTAAAAACCCGTATCCTCTATCTACCCACCGGGCATACAGCTGACATTCCCAACCGCAGTGAGGTGTGGCCTTGTGCTGAGTGCTGCCCACGACGTGGGGGAAGGGAGGCATGCCGCTCCCTCCTCCTGCCAGCCACAGGGCAGGGTGAGTCTTCCGAAGACTCAGGCCCTGGTCCCCTTGGACTCCTGAAGCTGTCCTGGGTCCAATAAGTTATATGACCCCCCAACTTCTATATAGTCTCAGTCGGGAATGTTCCCTGCCCAGTCTCATTTGGCCTGCGTCCCCCAATGTAAACTTCCTCCAAAAGACCTTCACTGTCCTGGGGACCAAGATCACCCCAAAATCAAATTAGAATTGTTAGCCATGTGAAAAGCAGAAATTTCTAGGACAGCTTTCCTTCCCAGATGGGTGAACATGGAAGTGTAATATAATAAAGAATATACCTGGTCTTTGTCCTGGTTCTTTGGCCCAAGTGGCGAAAACCGTGGAATTTCCTAATTGAAAATTCCCACCGGGGGGTGGGTCCCTAGACCGCTTCTGGATGGGGGCTGGTCACCAGAAAGACCAACCACATGATTGGAGGGCTGGGCTTTGGGCCAGCCTGACTTCCTGGAGGGAGACGGGAGACGGGGTACAGCATGGCCAGTGATGTCATCAGTCACGCCTAGTGCCGAGACCCACATCCAAGCTCTGGACGCTGAGGCTCGTGAACTTCCGGGCTGGCAACCACACTGGGCGCTGAGCGAAGGACGCTCCCAGATTCCACAGGGCGAGGACGCAGGTCTGCGCCCCCGGCGGAGCTTGTCCTGTGGTTTTCCTCCTTGTGGTTCCCCCTCCTGTGTGTCCTTTATAACGAAGCTGGAATCATAGGCGGAGTGCTTCCCTAAGTCCCGTGAGTTGTTCTAGTGAATCCCCAAACCTTAGGGCATTATGGGAACCCCCGAGTTTGTAGCTGGCATCCGAGAGAAAGCAGTCTTGTTGGGGACCTTGCCTTGAACTTGGGAGGTCTGTGTCAACTCCAGGTGGTTAGTGTGAGGGCTAGTGGCATCAGAACCAAGACAGGGACACCTTCTACACGCCTGGATTTCCAGTGTCATCTGCTGGACGGAACCAAGGTGACACGGTGAAGCACTTCGCCGCCCTCGCTGTCTGAAGCTCCTAATTTCACTCTCAATGCTCAGCAGAGGACTTTCTCTAAGGACAGCTCTTTCTTTTAGAGCTAGATACTGGCATACTGTTAAGTAAAAACGGGGGGACGAGAGTGGACGGGAGGAATCGGCTCTCCTGTTTTCCTTCCTACAGACACGTTCAGGCCACAGTTAAGTTCTCCTGTAACTCCATGTTAAGTGCCGGTAAAGAATGTATAA